ATTTAAGGGGAGCGTCTAGGGTAAAATTTTGGATTTTGGCTTTTCCGGTTTTTAGTCTCATCTTAAAGCTGACATTCTGATCTATCCAACGGTACCAAAATCATCTCTGTACGTTGATTTATGCGTTCACGACAGATCATTACTAATATTTATAATATTAGTAATATTGGTGTATTAATATTATAATATTAGTAATAATATTAGTGCTAATAGCTATGGTTTTATTGCAGATGCGATGTGTACATACAGAGCATAGAGGACCAGGCTCTGTTATAATTTAAGTCGCATCTGTAATATTTATTATATTATAATATTGTTGTATTATATTAATATTATAATATTAGTAATAATAATTATTTGTTTTGTTGCAGGTGCGATGTGTACATACAGAGCATAGAGGACCAGGCCGAGGTGATGGCATCACTTCAGATGCCCAAGAAAATCACGCTCAGAGGCTCTGATGGCCTCCCCTACATCGTCATGTGTAAACCCAAGGTATATATATACAAGAATAATTATTGTATAAATAATTATTACATGAATAATTATTACATCATAACTTGATGATTTATAGTATTATATGGTACATTCATTAATAAGAAGCCCAAGGTTCATACACGAATAATTATTGCATCTTACCAACGTAATGATTTATAGTATTATTTGGTACATTCATTAATAAGGAACCCTAGGTACATACACGAATTATTGCATTTTAACAAATTAATTTGATGTTAGGTATTATAAGGCACATTTATTAATAAGATCAATTTACCAGGATTGAATTTTAGAAACTCTTTTCTGATTTTTTTTTACGGGGTTGGCAATGATTAAATCAAACGAATAAAAAAAGCTGGAAAAATCAAATAAATAAAGAAATCTTGAAAAAATTAAAAAAAAATTTATATTAAAAAAAAATCAAAAAAATCACCAACCCTGTTTTATTCATGATATATATACGGAAAATAAGCAAGTTTCCCTGTGTTACAGGACGACCTCCGCAAGGACTGTCGCCTCATGGACTTCACGCGCTTCGTCAACCGCCTCCTGACGAGGGATCCTGACGCTCGTCGCCGCGACCTCCTCATAAGGACTTATGTGAGGGATATGAGGGTTATGAGTNTTATGAATGTTATGAGTAATGATATTATGAGTGTTATGAGTAATGATATTATGAGTGTTATAACTTATGAGTAATGATATTATGAGTGTTATGAGTAATGATATTATTATTGTTAATTTAAATTAAATTATTTTTGTCAACTTTATTTTCTATGTTATTATTATTGTCTACTCATTGTCAACAGCTTGCTGAATTAGTGACGATAAATACATGTGTGAATAAGTAGTGTAAAATATCTGTACACATAATACAGCTTAGGTATACAATGTTGTGTAGGATGTATATAGCTGCTGTGTAGGATGTATACAGCTGCTGTGTAGGATGTATACAGCTGTGTGTAGGATGTATAGCTCTTGTGTAGGATGTATACAGCTGTGTGTAGGATGTATACAGCTGTGTAGGATGTGTATAGCTGCTGTGTAGGATGTATACAGCTGCTGTGTAGGATGTGTATAGCTGCTGTGTAGGATGTATATAGCTGCTGTGTAGGATGTATACAGCTGCTGTGTAGGATGTGTATAGCTGCTGTGTAGGATGTGTATAGCTGCTGTGTAGGATGTATATAGCTGCTGTGTAGGATGTATACAGCTGCTGTGTAGGATGTGTATAGCTGCTGTGTAGGATGTGTATAGCTGCTGTGTAGGATGTATATAGCTGCTGTGTAGGATGTATACAGCTGCTGTGTAGGATGTATACAGCTGTGTGTAGGATGTATACAGCTGTGTGTAGGATGTATACAGCTGTGTGTTGTATTCAGGGTGTGGTGCCCCTGAATGAGGAGTGTGGGCTCATGGAGTGGGTACACAACCTGTATGGTCTGCGCAACGTTCTACACAAAATATACAGAGAGAAGGGCATCTACATGGCGGCCTCTGAGCTGAAGGTATCTTCAATGCCAGCGTTATAATAATAGCGTTATAATAATAGTGTTATAATAATAGTGTTATAATAATAGCGTTATAATAATAGTGTTATAATAATAGTGTTATAATAATAGTGTTATAATAATAGTGTTATAATAATAGTGTTATAATAATAGTGTTATAATAATAGTGTTATAATAATAGTGTTATAATAATAGTGTTATAATAATAGTGTTATAATAATAGTGTTATAATAATAGTGTTATAATAATAGTGTTATAATAATAGTGTTATAATAATAGTGTTATAATAATAGTGTTATAATAACAGCGTTATAATAATAGTGTTATAATAATAGTGTTATAATAATAGTGTTATAATAACAGCGTTATAATAATAGTGTTATAATAATAGTGTTATAATAACAGCGTTATAATAATAGTGTTATAATAATGGCGTTATAATAAGAGCGTTATTATAATAGCTTGACCCACAAATACTATGCATTTTACTAGGGTTTACGTTTTAAATTAAGTTGATTATAGAGTTCACACTATTCCTCATTTTTCAAAGATTCAAAATTTTTTTGATAAGAAAAGCAAATCAGTTTTATCTTTACATTTTGGATTTTACACTACTGTAAAAATTGTTCTGTCATAAGTTTAGTTATTTAATTGCGCATTTATTCATTTAATGACACTGTATGTATTTGATATAATTAAGGAGGTGTTATTTTACATGTTTATTTGCACATTTACTTATTCAATGACACAGTTTGTTTTCAAAAACATTATGGAGGTTAGTTATATTTAATTTTTTTTTAATTTTTATTGTTATTTAATTGCACGTTTACTTATCTATTGCACTATTTGTATATCTATTACACTATTATTTATTACATCATTTGTATATCTATTACACTATTATTTATTACACTCTTTGTATATCTATTACACTATTATTTATTACACTATTTGTATATTTATTACACTATTATTTATTACACTATTTGTATATCTATTACACTATTATTTATTACACTATTTGTAAATCTATTACACTATTATTTATTGCACTATTTGTATATTTATTACACTATTTGTATTCGATATAATTAAACAATTGTTATTTTACAGATGTACATTTGCAAGCAAGACGTCCCTCTGGAGACCAAACTTGACGTCTTCGTATATTTATTACACTATTATTTATTACACTATTTGTATATTTATTACACTATTTGTATATCTATTACACTATTATTTATTACACTATTTGTATTTAATATAATTAAACAATTTTTATTTTACAGATGTACATTTGCAAGCAAGACGTCCCTCTGGAGACCAAACTTGACATCTTCGTCAACAAACTGAAGGCCCGGCATCCACCTGTACTGGGGGAGTGGTTCCTTAAGACCTTCCCTCACCCTCACACATGGTATATTATCAACATTTATTTATATTTTATGTTATTTGTAGTTTTTTGATATTTATATTTTAATGAATTTGTAGCTCAGTGTCAGCGGCACGAAGATTTCGGATTCGGTGTCATTTGTGAGCGATGCTTGGTAGCCGACGAAGGTGGTGCTTCAGCATGGTCCCACACATGGTATATTATCCACATTTATTTATATTTTTTGTAATTTATATTATAATGAACTTGTAGCTCAGTGGTAGCGGCACGGAGATGAGAAGAGTCAGTGCCACCACCACTATCACCACCAGCAGCACATACTACTACTACTCATCACCACCACTACCACCACC